TATTACACATCACTACTGCCAGAGTCCAGAAAGTGATAAGAATCAGAGGTGAGTACGTGCCCTCCAGTAGAGGAGGTCCAGAAATAACAACTATTATAAGAAGGTAATGAACTGCTATAAGATAAGCCTGGGGTCTTGGAGTATCACAGATGGTTCCAGAGGAAAGGTGCTTAATTGATCCAGGATGGTGAGAAAAGAAGATGCCATGTAAGCTGAGAATGACAGGCTTAGTGGAGATCAGCAAGCAGAGACGATGGGGAGTACCTTCTAGGTATATAGGTAGAGCAGGAATAAATCACGAAAGGGACTTGGCTATGAGCATTCCAGCACCTACCTTACAACTAGTGCTGAATTCCTGACACAGAGGTACTAGGGGAGTAGTACAGAGGCTGGCAGGGGACACATTTTAACTGAGCTAAGGACTTTGAAGTGACAGCAAGCTGTTGAAGGATTTTAAGGAAAGAAGTGATGAAACCAAAGTTGCTTTTTAGAAATCACCTCAGCAAGCAGTGGGGAGGAGGGATTCAAGGACTGGGACCTCAAAGACAAGGAAGTCATCAGGAGAACACTGAAGGGTGCTGAGGGTCCAAACCCAGAGAGTGACATCAGCAAAAGAGTGGAGGAGACACACAAGAGTCGCTTGGAACTGTGGCTTTCAAACTGCAGGCCCAACCCATTAATGCGTTGTATAAGCAATTTAATGAATAATAGCCAGGTTTTATTAATAGAAAAGAAAATATCAGTGTATCACACAGCTTCTAGCAGATTCTTGGCTTTGTAAGAAAATTTTCAATTATCTACTGAAATAGATCATTGAGCATTAACATAAATAATAATCCAATAATATTTAAATTATTAAATATGCATATATTTGAATGAATATGGATTTATATGACTATGGACATGGATATATTGGGACATGATATAAAATAAAATTTTTCTGAAGATCATGAATAAAAATATTTGAAACATACTGACTTAAGAAGATAGCCTGGAATAGGCATTAAGGAACCATTTGGACAGGATGAGAAAGGCCACAACAAAGAGTGTGGCTGCACTGACTGGGCTACTTGGGTGGTGTGTGTGTTTCATTTGGACATAAAGTTTGAGGAGCTTGGAGGCCCTCCAGCAGAAACTGCATAGGAAATAGGTGGGGAAATGGGTCTAGGATGGAGGAAACAAGCCGAAGCTGCAGGCACAGATTTGGGGGTCACCAGGGCATTAGTGAAAGAATGTGAGGACTATGAAGAGCAAAGGGCAGAAGTCAGGGAACCCAGGGCACCCAGTGTACGAGGAGAGTTCCAGCAAGGAGAAGGTGGCCAGGCCAGAAAGTGAGGGAGAAAACCAAGAGTCCAAAAGCCCAAAAAGGAGACTTTTAGAAAGAGGGGGCCCAGTTATTCAGCTGCAGCCCCGAGGCCAAGAGAGCTGGAGACAGAAGCTCCCAAGGCTGCTGACTGGGGTTTCAGCACGAGCAGTTTTGGGGGAAATGGTGGGTAGACGTAGAGTGACAAACTGTCCCTGTTTTCCCAGGACCAAGGGGTTTCTTGGTATGTGGACTTTCCCTGCTAAAACTGGGACAATCCCAGGCAAACTGGGATTAGGGTTCCAAATAGTTACTTTAAATAGCAGATGAGGTGGAGGCAAAAAGCGTGGATTGTTTTTCTGAGAGATTCAACTCTTAAGAGAAGATACAGGGTAATATCCAGAGAAGGAACTAGGGTTAAAAGAGTTTTCTACTTGTTTCTTGCCCCTTTCTTTTTTAACAAACCATGCTAAAGGTTTATTCCTAGGATGAGAGGAAAAAGTGAGGGTAAGGCTGAAGGTACAGGAGACTAAGGATAATTTCTGGAGTAGCATCTGGTCCTCTGGAAGTAGGAGGTGTGGGATGAAGAGCCTGAAGGGCAGGAAGAGGTCCTGTCTTCTGGAAGGAAGTAGGGGAGGGAAATGGAGGGGATCCTAGCAGGGGCTCTCCACCTCATCAGCATGGGGGAGTGAAGAGAGGGGTAGGGTGGAGGCTTGAAAGGAGATGAGCAAAGGCTTGGGATGGCCATTTAGAATATGCAGGACAACACTAAAACACATTCAGACACCAAGGCTGGGGTGGGGAATCATGAAAACGCAGCATACAGTATAATTATTATCATCAACTAGGCTAGATCCCCCAGCCTGTCCAAAGTCATACAATTACATTATATTTCTGGTCTTAAAAAATATCTACCATTGCACTTAAAAAGAAATTGCTAGAGGCAATTCTGTGGCTTTATAATAGCAATAATAGGCTTCGGGAGGACTGTTATCAATGGGCACTACTTAAAGCGCTACAGAGGGTGGTTTGCTCAGACACACAGGTGCTCAGGCCAGAAGGCACTATGGGAAGGAGAGAAAGCAGAGACAGGGCAATTTGGAGGGCACATCGTGGCCAAGCACACATTCTTGGCATCCTAGATAACAAGGTTTGGAACCTTGACAGAAGTACCTAGGCTGCCTGGTACTAAGAACTACTCTCTCTCTCGGAGGGCATTTATGCCAAAACCCTGCAATAACTCTTTGTGACAGATTGTTATCCAACTGTGCCAGAGGGAAGACTGTGTCTCAGTACAGTTAAATAACTGGCCCTTGGCTGGCAAATTAGCACAGATAAGCTAAATTCATCAGTTTGGTCCCTCCCTTCGCTTTCTTTTCACCTATCACAATGAGGATAATAACAACACCTAAGCACAGGGCTTTGCAAGAATTAAATGAGATCGGTTGTCTGTGAAAGTGCCAGGCACCCACAGACACTGCTTATACATTTGTCTAGCATTCTGGTTCTCAACTGGCAGAGATTTTGCCCCCCAGGGGATATGTGGTAATGGAGATGTTTTTAATTTTCAAACTTACGAAAGTGGGTAGAGGCCAGGGATGCTGGTAAGCATTCTACTATGTACAGAACGGCCCCCACAGCAGAGAACTAGCCTGCCCCAAATGTCAAAAGTGGTACGGTTCAGAGACTCTGCTGGGGCATAGTGCAGGTGACTGGGAACCACACACACCAAGGACAGCAGAGCCTGAGTAGCAGGCAGTTCTTGGTGTTAGGACACTTGCAGATCTATATCTTAGATCCACTACTTGCATTCAACAAGTTATTTAACATGCCTGAGTCTCACTTTTCAAATGGGAATACTAATAGCACTTACCTCCTGGGACTGAGGCTCAGTGCTGGCACAGGGAAACAGGCAGAGTGAGTATTATTATTACTAATGAAAGGCAAGGCAAGCAAGATACTGAGAGATACCTTGTTTTACTAAACTGGGTAAGAAGGAAGAAGAAATTAAGAAAAACCGCAGTGACACTTAGTAATTGTCCTGGGTTTTAATGTTTTCCTACTGTGCAATTTCATCCTGGATTGTACTCATCACAAAGTAGTTTAGATAGATTAAATGATTGTTGAATAATATTTTGCCAACACAATGGAATTAATCAATCTTTACCACTTTGAAAAAAATTCAGTAGACACTAAGTTGCTGCAGTTGTGAAAGGTCTTTTCATTGTTAGCAAGACTCATTGCTATATTTCCTGCAGGGCTCTCTTAAGAAAGGCTGTATTCAGAAGAGAGTAATTTAGTGATAGCATTTTAAGTTGTCTGTCATGGCTCAATACCCACTTGTTTCTTCAAAAGTTTCTTTCAGTACTTATCACAGCACTTTTAATTTGTACAAACATTAACCTGGATTTTAACACCTTTTGCAGTAACACCAGGATTTCGACTTAACTATAGATATTCTTAGCATCTCTTGGCTGTCATGAACAGACACAGTTTTCCATTGCAATGTAGTTAATCAGTAGGCAATATTTCTATATTCCCTGGGTACAATTTTCCTTTTTTTTTTTTTTCTTTCCATTTTTCCTCTGTTTTCCCTGGATGTATATATTCCCTCTTCATGCATTTTTACCCACAGGTCTGCAGAACAGAGGGTCCCTTTTCTTTCCAGCTGCTCACGTCCCACCCAGTCTTTCCTCCTCTGCCCTTCAACCATCCTGATACCTTGTATGTATCCTCTCTGCCACTTCATGGCTGGCTAAACATTTCTGACTTTTTCCTAAATGTCCCCAAGATACCAGATCAGGCTCCTCTCTCCAGGGCCCCTTCAGGTTCCGTTCATCACACCTGCTCTTCAGGGAAGAGAGGCTCCTTTGGAAACTTCACACCCATCACCATTCCCTCTAGTGGAGAGAGTGTGGGTATAGGGAGAGTGGAAGTACAGGGGAGGCAGAAACCAAGGGCACAGGGAGTGGAACAGGAGAAGAGAGGGTAGAGAGGGTGCACAGCTTGTAGGGAAAAGGCAATCACCAAGCAAATAGATGAGCCCAAAGAAGAGCATGGGATTCACAGTCCTAATGGCATCCACGTGGAGAAACCACTTACATATGAATGTAAAATATATATATATACCTGCAGAACCAGCCAAGCACTGCAGCGCTCAAGGCATTTTAAGTACTTACCTCTGAGCTGCCCAACAAGCTGTGAAGAAGTGACAAGCGGAGGATTATTATCCCCATCCTCTCAGATAAGGACACTTGGGTGCCAAGTGTTTGCAACTTGCCCTGTGTCCCCCCAGTTGCAAAATGGATGAAGAATGGAAAAGGTTAAGGGAGAGAAATGGACCCCAGGTTTGCCAGACTTAAGCCTTCTACATCACTGATTTGCAAGAAAAGGCAGCGGGGGGAAAGGGGGGGACGGGAGATTATGGAGAACAATGAGAAGCCAGAGAAAGAGCAAGAAAGTAAGCAAGGGAATTGATAGGAGGGGAAACGGATGGAAAGGAAGCGAGCAGAAAAACCTCAAGAGGAAGTGTGACAGGGAAGAGGCCCCAACACAAGGACAAGCACACGGGAGGTCAGCGGGGGACACCGGCCTGGTGATCCCAACAACACATACACCTGACAAGGCAGAGCCCACACGGAGAACCGTCCGTCCTCTTGAAAAACACCCAAATCAATAACAACGTATCTCCGCTCCATTATTTTCAATACAGGCTTTAATTCACAATGCACTCAGAGGGCAGGGAAGGGAGGGGAGGGACCAGGGCACTGTTTGGAAGGGGCAATTATGCTAAACACACTGACCTTTTGCTGAAAAGTTGGAGAAGGGACAGGTGGCAAAGAAGCCACCTCTTTCCCGTCGCTCCATCCCCACCCCAACTCTCCAAAGCCCGTCTCTGTTTCTCGGCTCATTTGGTCTGATAGGAACATGTCAGGGGTTTGCTGTCTGTTTTTGACACTTGAGGCTGTGAGTAAAACGACCCCCAACTCTTCCTCGTCTCTGTTTTTTAAGTTTCTTTTATTAATTGATTTGTTTTAGAACTCCCGTTTCAGCTCCATGCGCACTTTCCCATCGTTTTTGGGCTTAGTTGGGGGAGAGCCGGTGCGGGCGCTGCCCTCAGCACCGCCGTGAGGGAAGGGGAGCTGGCAGTCAGTCTCGGGGCGCGCCCTCCTCCCCGGGGCCCCCTTCCCAAAGCCCGTCGGGTCTCCACAGGCCGGGGAAAGGCGTGCGGCTGTAGCCCGCGCTGTAGTCATAGGACACCTGGTGCGGCGGCGGCGGGGGTAGGGCGCAGTCCGAGAAGAAGGGGGCGAAGGAGGCCAAAAGGCCAGGCCCGTCCTCCCCACCTGGAGAGTCCGCGGCGGCGGGGTACAGGGCGCGCAAGGACTCGTTCAAGGTCAAGCCGCCGCGAGGCGCAGCCAGGGACGGCTTCTTGGTCGGGGGGCAGGCCGGGGCGCTCCAGGGCTCGGGGTACAGTGGGCTCCCCACCATCGCGGGCGGCGGCTCAAAGAGACCGGGCTCCAGCTCCGGGGGTCCCCGCAGGACGGCGGCGCCGGTGGGGAACACATCGAGAGGCTCCGCGGCGAGCAGGACTCCCGCCTCGGCGCCGGCGTCGTAGTCGGGCCCCAGCAGCTCGAAGAACTCCACGGCCTCCGCGCCCTTCTCCAGCTCGCCCAGGCTCAGGCCGGGCCCCGACGGGCTGCAGCCGCCGCCGCCGCCCGCCCGGGAAGGCTCGGTGAAGAAGGACGGGGGCAGGTTGCGGGCCCGCAGCGGGACTTTCCTGGAGCTGGGGGCCGCCGCACCCGCCGCGGGAGCGGCCGCGTCCCCTCCCGCCCCAGCGCCCGCCCCTCCGGGCCCGGCCGCGGCTACCGCCGCCGCACCCCCGGCCGGCTGGGCGGCCCCGGGAACGTGGCGCAGCGAGTCGAAGAGCGCGGCCAGGCTCCGGCTCTGCAGGCTGGCGGCCGCCGCCGCCTGCGACGCCTCCCGCCGAGGGGCGGCCTTGCCGTGGGCTGGGGCCGCGACCGTCTGGGCGCCGCCGGCGGCGGCGGGCGGCCGCTTGGCGGGCGTGTCGGCGGCGCCCGGGGAGGGCGGGCCCGGGGACACGGCGCCCATGAGGCCGCTGCAGCGCTTGATCTGCTTCTGCAAGTACTTGCGGTGGTTCACCTTCCGCTTCGACTTGCCCGGCTTGTCCAGGGCCAGCTTGATGTTACTGGACGCCGAGTCGATGAAGCTCAGCAGGTCGCGGGTGGCCTCGCGCACGTCCCCGCCGTCGGCGCCCGCCAGCAGCGCGCCCGCCGGTGTCCCGGTCTCATCGTCTTCGAAACAGCAGCCCTTGTCCAGGGCTCCGAAGGCGCCCCCCAGCCCGTCCGGGGAGCCCCCGAAGCCGAAGGGGACGAAGGCGTGCGTGCTGAGGAGCGCCGCCTGCACCGCCATCGCCGCGACTCCCCGGCGGCCTGCAGCGCGGCCCCTGCGCGGCCGGCCGGCTCCCGCCCGCAACCCAGCCCGGGAGGGGCGCGCGCGTCGCAGCCTCCGCACGCCGGCCGGGCCCGCGGCTCCGCCTCGCGGGGGAGCTCATTAGGTCTTGTAAGCGAGGGGCAGGGGGCGGGAGCGCGCGGCTGCCGCCCCGGTGGCGGAGGGGAGGGGTTTGCTGAGCCCGGCCGCTCGCCGTGGGGTGGTCGCTTCTCTGGCTTCTGGGCTTTCTCAAGCTCATCGCCTTAACCCCTTCGTTTCCCTTCGCCCCGCAGCGTTTCTCTTGGCCAGCCAGAGGCAGGACAGGACGGCCCGTCCTCCAACCCCAGCTCCTGAACGACCACGCCCTGGCGCGGGGGGCTCTCTGAGGCTGAGAGGACAAGGGTCCAGAGACGTGGGTTTCAGCCCCAGCTCTAGTTATAGGCATGGCTACCGGCTACTGGGCGCTTGCTTATGCCGAACACTGTCCATACATTGTCGTTTAATCCATGAACAATAGCCCTGTGAAGTACATGTTCTGAGCGCCATCTAACAAATGAAGAAAGCCGCAGAGAGGTTCAGTGAGTTGAACTAGGGCATTTCCCGTCCAGGTGACTCCAAAACCATTCCTAAACCCTTGACAGACCTTGTGTTCACTCCTGTCCTCAGTTTTCTCATCTGTGAGATGGGGGAAGGAAACTAGTGGCTCTTCAAGCCCTTACCCTGGTCCTAAGATAATAACTAGAGTTTCCACAGGACTCAAGTCTGGCGCTCTTAATTCTACGCCTTGACTGTTACTAGTAACAATTAGCTGACAATAAATCGAGGCCAGCACTTGGCCCATTTTTTATTATTGTAGATAGACAACAGGAGACAAAGGAGAAAGGAATCGCTCCCACTAAGCCAGGTGGGGCTTGAGAGAGAAAACTCTCAGCATCTTAGGACAAACGATGGATTGGAATCTCTCCCCTACCTGTCATGCCGTTTAGGTTGTCCTACAACTTCTGCTGCATTTCAAGAATCACCCGAAAGTTCACTTAGACCCAATTTCACCTGGCAGGCCTCTTGGGAGAAAAAGAATGAGCAATATGATAGAGCATGGAAGATGATTCAGAAAAGACTTGGGTTCTGATCTTAGCTCCACCACTCAATAGCTCTGTGACTCAAGTTGAAATCTTTGCTCTGATGACTATGTGTCTTTGGGCAAATCACCGACCTCTGTCTGCCTTAATTTATTTATTCACCTTAAATGCAGGTGAGGTTGCCCACCTCACAGGCACCTGTGGTATTTAAAGAGAACATTCTGTGAAAAATCCCTATCTGTTACATCTTCCACATCCTGTATATTTGTCCTCACTTCTCTAAAAGGTGGCTATGTTCCCTATGTGTCTTCTCTGTCACAAGGCGGTCATGAAGATTGAATGAGGTCATATATATGAGGACAGCATGTGTGTGATAGTGTCCCCTGAAGTCATGGTAGTTGATGCCAAGATACCAATCATCTCTTTCAAGACTCTTTTCTTTAAGCCACATTTTTTTAGAATAAAACAATTTTTGAGCACTGTGAAGGCACAGCCTTACCAAAGAAAGTCTAGGCGAACACTCTTCATTTAGGAAGTGAAGTAGGCACTTACCAAATCAACGCAGCTGAGTCCAACTTCCTATTTTTTAAATTCAAGTTGGGTCAATTATGACATACTTTCATTTGAGTCACATACAGGATTTTGTCCTCCGTGATTAGACTGTTTCATTCTTGGTGGTCTTTGCACTCAAAAGATTGTGAGGCTGTCACTGAGTTGTTTCTCAACCCCTCAGATGCGGACGTCAGCACCGACCCTCCCTTTCTGACAGGACCACTTCATAGGCCCCCAGGCCTGGCCAGGCAAGTGGACTCTTTTTTTGCACTGTCTTTCAACTGAGCAGCTCTTACAAATCCCCAGACACAGATTGCATAGGACTCTATGTCTGAAACATTTTTAGTCTGAAACATCTCTCTTAATCCCCAGAGTTAGCTAAGCTCTAATATAATCATATTCAAAATTAATGGAATATAAGACGTTTCCTATGTAAAAGTATTTTCATGTCAAGGTCATTAGAGCTTAAAGATTGAAGTTGATTTGGATTTAGATGAGACCAGGCTCAAATTCTGGCCTGCCACTTGCTAGATGGGAGTCCTTGGACAGGTCAGTTCATCTTTCTAAGACTCAGTTTCCTTATCTGAAAAAAATGGAAACTGGCATAACTGTTCTCAGACTGTGAGAATTATATGACATGACATGCAAATAATACCTCTGAGTAGTACTTTTTTCATCTGTCCAGTGGAGATCATCTCCATTCCTCAAGATTGTTGTGAGTTGGTATATATATGAATGTTCCTGGCACAAAATAGTGGTTCAACAAATATCTATGTTCTTGATTAATTAGGTTTCACCAGTTCCTTACTGACATACACATCACCCTATAAAATCAACATCACTGTTCTTTCCCCCAACAGAGCAAGGGGTATTTTCAAATGCAAGAGAGCAACTATACGTGTGAGTTGTGAAAATTTAGGAAAAGGCAGTGAGAGGTCCTAAACTAGAGCCAGGGATTAAGACTGGAGCCTTTTATTATTCAACTGACTATAGAAAAGTCACATAACCCTCTGGACCTCAATGTTCCCATCTATAAAATGGGATTAATAAGGTGAGCCTATTTGATGATGCTATTGTGAAAATCAGTGAGGTTAATGGAAGAGGAAATTCTTAAGACTGTTTCATTCTTGGTGGTCTTTGCACTCAAAAGATTGTGAGGCTGTCACTGAGTTGTTTCTCAACCCCTCAGATGCGGACGTCAGCACCGACCCTCCCTTTCTGACAGGACCACTTCATAGGCCCCCAGGCCTGGCCAGGCAAGTGGACTCTTTTTTTGCACTGTCTTTCAACTGAGCAGCTCTTACAAATCCCCAGACACAGATTGCATAGGACTCTATGTCTGAAACATTTTTAGTCTGAAACATCTCTCTTAATCCCCAGAGTTAGCTAAGCTCTAATATAATCATATTCAAAATTAATGGAATATAAGACGTTTCCTATGTAAAAGTATTTTCATGTCAAGGTCATTAGAGCTTAAAGATTGAAGTTGATTTGGATTTAGATGAGACCAGGCTCAAATTCTGGCCTGCCACTTGCTAGATGGGAGTCCTTGGACAGGTCAGTTCATCTTTCTAAGACTCAGTTTCCTTATCTGAAAAAAATGGAAACTGGCATAACTGTTCTCAGACTGTGAGAATTATATGACATGACATGCAAATAATACCTCTGAGTAGTACTTTTTTCATCTGTCCAGTGGAGATCATCTCCATTCCTCAAGATTGTTGTGAGTTGGTATATATATGAATGTTCCTGGCACAAAATAGTGGTTCAACAAATATCTATGTTCTTGATTAATTAGGTTCCACCAGTTCCTTACTGACATACACATCACCCTATAAAATCAACATCACTGTTCTTTCCCCCAACAGAGCAAGGGGTATTTTCAAATGCAAGAGAGCAACTATACGTGTGAGTTGTGAAAATTTAGGAAAAGGCAGTGAGAGGTCCTAAACTAGAGCCAGGGATTAAGACTGGAGCCTTTTATTATTCAACTGACTATAGAAAAGTCACATAACCCTCTGGACCTCAATGTTCCCATCTATAAAATGGGATTAATAAGGTGAGCCTATTTGATGATGCTATTGTGAAAATCAGTGAGGTTAATGGAAGAGGAAATTCTTTGTCAAACATAAAGTTCTATCTACAAATATAAGATATTCATGGTCTGATTCACAAAATTGATCCTTACACATAAAATATCCATTCAGTCACAAAAGATACTGACACCAACAGTGTGCTCAGCACTGTGCTAGTACTGGGGATACAGACATAAGAAGCCATGATTCCTACCATTTCTGGTGGAGACAGACATGCAAGCAAGTCATTGTAATATAATGCAATACATGTCTCAGTGGAAGTAAATTAAAGGTACAATACTTAATAGAATCAAATCTGCCCAGGGGAGTCAGAGTAGGCTGTGTAGACAGGTAACATTTGAGCTAAGACTTAAATGATGCATTTCAGTGTGCCAAGCAAACAAGCAATGTCTCTGGGAGCAGCCAGGCAGAGGCATGGTTATATGAAAGCAATGGCACTTATGGAAACTAAATAATAAGGCAACAAAGAATAACATTGGCTTGAAATATCTGTATACCAGAGACCAAAATAAATCCTTAGGATTTCTAATGTCCTACAAAATTGTACATGTAGACCTCACCTCATGGTCTCAGTTGCCTTCCTCCTTGATCTCCTTTCCTTTGAGGAAGAGCTCTATCTGCAATGAAATTAGTTACAGCAAAGTGAGTGGCCAGCACCTGCCAGGCCTATTGGTCCCTGCCTGCTCCTCCCCACTGAGTGAGCAGGCTCACTGGAATGGCTTGACATCAATATATTTCATTTCCAATGGGGCAGGAGGACCCAGCTCCAGCCTGCACTAGGGCCTCTCTGCAGAGCTCCAATCTAGAGCCTTTTTGCCCAGTGATACCTACTGCTGAACAAGTGGGATTAGTCTCCTTGGGAACCAAGCCCCCCAGGGGCTCAAGGGCTGAACTCACCCAAACGTTTTGGGAGAATTGAGATTTCATATTGTTCTTTTGCACTTGGATTTCAGGACATTACTTAGACAAAAGCCCACCTGAGAGCTGCCTCCTTTCTTGTGGGTAAATACAGCAGCAGGATTTACTTACTTTGTTTTCCCCTTTGTAGCTTTAATCATATTCCCTGCAGGACAAACTTAGTCCTCACAGATGTCAGAAATCCACGTTCATAAAAGGAGAAATAATTTTGCATGTTTTTTTTCTGTCTCTCATCCTGTACCAATTTCGTCACTCAACTATTTTTGAAACTTCAAATAAAACAGATTAATTCCTCAGTTTCACCACACAATTTATAAACTATCGATCTCATAATAAAATATTGTTACCTTATAAATTGTGCACCCTAAAAAGGTATCTCATTTTCTTTCTCATCCTTTACTGCTACAAATCAGATTCTACTACAACTAGATCTTAATTTTCATCTTAAATTTTAGATGTTTTTCTGGTTATCTGTAGTTGTATAACAAACTATTCCAAATTGAGTGACTTAAGACAATAACCATTTTATTATTTCTCACAATATTATGGGTCAATAATTTGAGCAACACCTGGTTGGGTGATCCTTCTGGTTCACCCGATGTTGACTTTGGCTGTTCTGGACAATCGAAGATGATGTCATTCACATAACAGCACCTGTGCCTACACATGCTGGCCTCTCCAAAATGCTGGTCTAACAGTACTCAGACTTCTTACATGGAGGCTCAGGAATCCCAGACAGAGATCTGAGGCACATCCGAGGCTCCTTAGGACCTAGTCCCAGAATTCCCAGAACAGCACATTCAGTATATTCAGTTTGTCAAGCAGTTCATTAAGTCCACCTAAGACTCAAGCACAGAGAAATTAGAATCCAACCCTCAATGGAAGAACTAGCAAAAAATTTGTCTGGTATGTCTTTTAAATGTTTTTTAATCTATAGTGCCCCCATTTTCCTTTTCTTTGCAATTGGTTTATTGAAGAAACTAGTCACTGCCTTGTCATTTTCCCCACATTCTGAACTTGGTTAGTTGCATTATCTCCATGGTGATATTTAATATGTTTCTCTGGCCCCTGCTCTTCCTGTAAATGGGAAATAGATACAGAGGCTTGATCAGATTCATGTTCTTTTTTAAATAGCAGATACACACACATGCTGTGGAATACATGCTACAATATGTATAATAGTTCTAGAATAACAATGCCAATATTCTTACTAATAAAAGCAATTATTAGAAATAACTTCTTTTTTGCCATTCTTTTGTCCTCAAAACATATCCCACTAGTGGTGAACAGTCCAATAACTCTGCTTTAAATTCACTTTTAAACATCCTCTGTGTGTGGTTATGCCACCATTTAAATACACAGGTTCATTTGTTTTACTTTGCCTTATTATATAAAAATTGCCTTATAAATATTTAATTTTGTTTTATAATTTTTAAAAATTATGTGGTTTAAAGTCAAGACTACACCACAAGTCATATTCAGAGAGGGCTAGCTTCTACTGCAGTCCCCTCCACCCTATTTTCTCCCTCCTTACTATAGGTAATCACTGTTGTTTTGTTTTGTTTCAGAGTTCATGCTTGTCCTTCACTAGATAATCATATTTTTATTACATATACTTTTCTTTATCTTGCTTTTGTCACTCAACAACAATATATCTTCTTTCTTTTTAACCGTTGTATAGTATTCCACTGAATGGATCTACTATAATTTAGTCAACCAGTCCTGCTATGAATAACTAACTTGGGGTTTTCCCATAACTTTTATATTATAAACAAGGCTGTAATGAATAGCTTCACTGTAAAACCAAGATCTAATAACTACTGGTCTGGTGATCCCTTCTTAATATCAGTGTAGTGATGGAAATAAGGCATGTACTAATTTACATCTCATTCCTTTTGTTTATTTAACAAACATGTATGGAGCACAGACTATGTGTCAAGAAGTGGTATAATTTGGAAGGATGTTGAGATGCAGAAAGCAGGGTCTACTCCAAGGAATTCATAATCTAGTAGACAGTGCAGACACATATTCAGAAGAATGCAAAGCCCTATAAAATAAGGTATAAACAAATCACTGTGGTTTAATAGAAAGAGAAATCTGTGGCATAGATATGTGACATTTGAGTAGAGCTTTAAAGAGAAGAATTCCCCAAAGTATTAAAAGACAATATAAACAAGAGATAGAGGCCACTTGGAAATGTAGCTATAATGTTTTTCCTTAGCTAGGATGTTTTAATTTTTTATAAAGAGAACATATTCATGTATTATCTGTTTACATACATTACATATTTAGTTAAAATATTAATTTTTCAAATGAGTATGGATGGCATGTTCAGTGAGTAATGAATATTTCTGTGTTCCTAGATATGCCTAGGAAAGTAATAGGAGACAATGCTAACTGGGTTGGGATTATTAAAGACACTGAATGTCCAGCTGAGACAATGTATAATCAACCCTAAACTCGGTAATGTTTATCTGCCTTTCTGTATCTCTTGAGATATTGTTGGGCTTGGTTTATGCCAAAGAGAAATAAGACTGGAGAGAAAAGACCTGTATTTCAGTTCTGGATCTACTTGCAATTTTATCTTGTATATTAATTAATTCTATTCTGCTTTACTTCAGAAAGAAATTTAGGCCACTGCAAGAGTGCATAAAATGCAATAAGGTAACACACATTAAAAGCAAAATTGCAACCCAGGGCTCAAATCTCGGTTCCTGCTGCAATTTCCCAAAAAAGAAACTAGACCTCTTTAGAGAAATGGCTGGGGGTAGGGAATATTCAAGATGAGCCTGGAAAATGTTACAGTGGCAGAAAGTGAAGAAGTGCTCAAAGCACAAAATAAATGATGGGATATGTCAAAGAGACATAAGCACCACTGGAAAGAGCACCCTATGAGCAAAGCTGGAAAAATTTAAGCAACAAAATAAATTATGTAATATTGGATTATAAAAGAAAGAATAAAGTAAACATTCATTAATCCATACTGATGTAAACAAATGATTGCATAAGTAGGTAAAAGGGGGAGGAGAGTCACATCTCCCATGCAGAAGAATTTCAAGTAATTTATGTAGATATTCTGTTCTTAAGTTGGTGAAGCATAATTCCCGCTTGTTAAGAGTGAGCCGTGAATAATGACTTCCTTCCAAAGGATACAACATGGAAAGGAGGGCAATAGAGTAACTTCATAGTAGAGAAAACTGACAAACACCACGTCAGCCAGGTGGTCAACATGAGCACCAACACCGATGTCATCCTGATAGTGTAAGGCCTCGATAGGAAGTGATAACACTGTACTTCTGTGGTATTCTCAAAAGGCTATTGCTGTCATCTGATCATGAGAAAAACTTCAGACAAATCCCCACGGAGGGACATTCTACAAAAATACCTGACCAGTGCTCCTCAGCAGTACCAAGGTCATCAGAAACAAGGAAGCCTGAGAAACTGCCCCAGACGAGAGGAGCCCAAGGAGACCTGACACAGAAATGTAATATAGTGTCTTAGATGGGATCCTGGAGCAGAAAAGAAGATATTAGGTAAAGCCAGGATAGCTGAATAAAGTATGGACTTTGGTTAACAGTAATGTACCAATATCGCTTCATTAGTTGCTGCAAATGTACTGTAGTAATGTAAGACGTCAACAGTGGGTAGTAAAACTGGGTGTAAGGCATACAAGAACTCTCTACACTATCTTGGTAATTTTTCTGTAAATCAAAAACTACTCTAAACTTAAACATTTATCTAAAAGAAAAAGAGGAGGAGGATTTCATGAAGAAATAAAAATGTAAGGTGTAGCATAAAATGGGACCTGGGACTTAGAATGAGATTAAACCTAACATATACTATATCCTTGTGAAAAAATCTCCAACTTGGTTCTAATCTTCCTAACAGCCAATGAGAAAAGGGAACCTGATCAGCTGCCATAATTAACACTACCAAAAAGATAAAAGGAGACCAATTGCTTAGGATAAATAGAGGATACTTGGTACTAGAGCCAGTCACATATTTCTGTCAAGGATCCTCATTAAGAGGAGAATGTAAAATTGGGTGAACAATCTTCATACACAACAGCTGTGGCAGATCATTGTAATAATGGCTCCAGTGAATCCCTGATCCCTGATTCCAAGCCCCTTTGCAATGTGAACTGCCACTCTTCCCATCAAGAGCTGGATCTCTGTTCTCCGCAACTTTGAATCTGTGCCGGAGGCAGTACACAAGTCTGAAACCTTTGCGATTTTGCAACGTAAGAGGCTTTGCAGCTTCCACTTTCGTAATCGTGGAACACTGAGACCTCATGCTGTGTGGGCAATCCCAGGGGAATCGAGGTACCCCTGCTGACAGCCAGCACCATTACCAGACATGCCAGTGAGGCTATTTTGCAACCTCCAAATGCAGTCAAATCATCACGTAATTGAAGCCATATGAGTGGTTTCAGGAAAGACCTGCAAAAGAACCACTCAGACTGCCAACCCATATAATCATGTAAAGTAAGACAATTTGGTTTTCAGCCAATTAATTTTGGGATGGTTTGTTATGCAACATGTTTTGTGGGCTATTTTAAAAATAACATTTCACTGTAGAATGGCCCCACACTCCAAAATCTATCAAAAGCAACTGAATAGAAAGCAGCCATTCTAACTGAGACTTTGGAAATATCTCTTGAGCAAAATAATCCCTCCCCTGCCTACTTCAACTGAGATAA